GGGAGGGGAGGAACACATTTGGCTAAAGAGGGCTGCCGGGTGGGAAGGTCGCAGGGACTGTCAAGAGACCTGGGTTCGTTGGTAAAGGAACTTTCCCACAGGGCCCAAAGTGCAGCCCTACCTTCCGGAACTTATGGAGTGTATGCTGCAGCCCCTGAGGAACCCCAGCAAAGCCCGGACCAAGGAGCTAGCCGTGAGCGCCATAGGGGCCATTGGTGAGTACAGGAGCAAGGAGGTGAAGGTGTGGTGTGGGTTGACTGAGAAAGTTGCATCGGACCGTCCCGACTCCCTGCCGGCTCTGATCCTCTTGTGTCCTGTAGCCACGGCTGCCCAGGACTCCCTGCTGCCCTACTTCCCCACCGTCATGGAGCTTCTCCGAGAGTTCCTGCTGACATGCCACGAAGACCTTCAGCTTGTACAGATCCAGAGCCTGGGTGAGGAGGGACCTTGATTCGGGCGGGGGTCCACCTGCTGTCCCCAGGGACCTCTCCCAGGGCAGTCGGCTGTCTTCCTTTGGTGAAAAGGTGCTCTTCGTGTTGTACCTGAGAGTAGGGTAGAGTTTTGAGTGCCTTCCACCCTTAGTTCTGGAGTTGATCTCCACATCTCAGTGCTGGCTGAGCCCTTGTTCCCACAGAGACCCTGGGAGTGCTGACCCGAGCAATGGGAGAGTCCATGAGGCCAATGGCTAATGAGTGCTGCCAGCTGGGGCTGGGGTTATGCAGCCACGTGGATGACCCTGACTTGCGGCGCTGCTCGTGAGTGACCCTTCATGGTGCTCCTGCCCCTCCTGCCCGCCCACCAGGGGTTGACAGTCCTCATCCCAACTACCAAACCACAGCCAGTTTTCCTGGGCTCTCCCGTTTTTGTCTGTCTATAGCAGGCAGCACTGTACAGATTCTCTCTACCTTCATCAGGTACAGCCTGTTTGCAGCCTTATCAGGGTTGATGGGAGAGGGCCTGGCACCCTACCTGCCACAAATTACCACGCTCATGCTGTTATCACTGCGCTCCACCGAGGGCATTGTGGTGAGCAGAGGATGGGTGTACTGGGCCGGATAGACCAGGCTAGCCCTGTCTGTGATGGGGATTTATCTTGTCCCACCTGAGCCAAGATCCCTGCTCGGCTTTCTTCATCTAGCCTCAGTATGATGGGATCAACTCCTTCCTTCTGTTTGAAGATGAGAGTGAGGAAGAGGAGGAAGAGGACCTCATGGATGACGATATGGAAGAGGACGACGACTCTGAGATCTCGGGGTAGGAGGAGGTGCTCTTCTACTTAAGACTTTGAGCTGGGCGATGGTGGCACACACTTTTAATCCTAGCACTTGGGAGCCAGAGGCAGGCGGATCTCTGAGTTTGAGGTCGGCCTACTCGAGAAGAGCCGGGGATACACAGAAACCCTGTCTCAAGAAATAAAGACTTTGGTTCTGGATGTGGGCCCAGTGCTGGATGCACTCCTTGCACGCATCACCACAGCCTCCCCACCTGCCCCCAGGTACAGTGTGGAGAATGCCTTCTTCGATGAGAAAGAAGATACCTGCACTGCCCTGGGGGAGATCTCTGTGAACACCAGGTGAGCATCAGCCCTTCCATGCTTCTGGGAACCATTCCCAGGACCCCTTTCCCCACTGCTGTGTATTTTTCCGTAGTGTGGCCTTCCTCCCATACATGGATCGCGTCTTTGATGAAGTATTCAAACTGCTGGAGGTGAGTCAGTGGAGCCTCAAGCTCCAGTTAGTGTTGTCCTCACCTTGCGCCTGCCGGGCACACACCTGCCCTCTTTGTTCCAGTGTCCCCACGTGAATGTGCGGAAGGCAGCGCATGAGGCCCTGGGGCAGTTCTGCTGTGCGCTACACAAGGCCTCTCAGAAAAGCCAAGCCGCCAGCACTGGTGAGGAGACGCCGGCAGGCTGGGAGCGCTGGGAACTGGCAGGGCCTGACCACGGCTCTGGTCAATTCTGTCTCCAGCTCTGCAGCTTTCCTTGGCTCGAGTGATGCCATCTTACATTCAGGCAGTGAAAGTAGAAAGGGAACGCCCAGTGGTGATGGCGGTGCTGGAGGCCCTGACAGGGGTGCTACGCACCTGTGGGACTCTCGCCGTGCAGCACCCTGGACGCATCAATGATCTCTGCGTCGTGCTCAAGACTGTGCTGCAGAAGAAGGTGAGCAGGGCAGGGGGGCTGTGGGGAGAGGAGGTATCGGGTCCCAGAAGAGTCCAGCTCTGCCCATCTCACCATCACCGCAGAAAGGAGAAGGCAGGAGAGCCCACACTCACTGAACTGTGTCTTCCACAGACAGCCTGTCAGAACTCTGAGGAGGAGGAAGAGGATGACGATGACGACCAGGTAAAGTTTCAGATGAAAGAGGTCTAGATAATGTAGTTAGTCAGGGCCAGCAGTGGACAGTGCACTCAGCTTAGCCTGGAGGAGCCAGGGCTGGTGAGAGAAGTTGGTGACTACCAGGAAGGTGGTGAGGTGTTCAGAGGAGAGAGGCATGCCATGGGGCAGCATTGGCAGTGATAAATGGAGGGCCTGGGCTCTTGAAAAGCCATCCTGGAAGCGAATCGGTCTGTGAAATTAGGGCAGCCCCAGAAGCACCTGCAGCCAGTGCAGAGCGGGATTGGGAGCTGTACAGTCCCAGGGCTGGCCTCGGTGCTCCAGCCCCTGCCCTGGCTCCGCAGGCCGAGTATGACGCCATGTTACTAGAGCATGCTGGAGAGGCTATCCCAGCCCTGGTCGCTGCAGCTGGAGGACAGTCCTTCGCTCCTTTTTTTGCCAGTTTCTTGCCATTGTTGCTGTCTAAGATGGTGAGTGCTCTGTCCCCTGACCTCACATCCCAGTCTACCTGTGCACCCAGTGCCTGCAGCCCCACCTCCATGCCGATTTGTACTCCTTCAACCTCCCCTCTAGAAACAGAACAGTACGGTGGCAGAGAAGTCCTTTGCAGTGGGAACCCTGGCAGAGTCCATTCAGGGTCTTGGTATTGCCTCAGCCCAGTTTGCGTCTCGGCTATTCCCTATACTGTTAAACTCTGCCCGGGAAGCAGACCCTGAGGTGCGGAGCAATGCTATCTTTGGGCTCGGTGTACTTGTAGAGCATGGAGGCAGGCCTGCTCAGGAGTATCCTATGCTTGCAGGAGGGAAAATGGGGTTGGAAGTGAGCCCAGGGATTGGTGAGGTGCTGCTGCAGGGTGAAGCCTGCCAGTGTGTGTATTCCTTAACTGTGCACCAGTCACTTCCCTAAGCTACTGGGCTTCCTCTTGCCCCTCCTGGCAAGGGAGCGACATGATCGAGTCCGTGATAACATCTGTGGGGCTCTTGCCCGAGTGCTGATGGTCAGTCCAGTAAGGAAACCAGATCCCCAGGTGAGGGAAGGGGCATCAGGCAGGGTGGAGGCCAAGGATGGTGGAGGGGACAGGACACATGGGCCTGAGACGTCTGTGTGTTCAGGTGCTGGCTGCGCTGCTACATGCCCTGCCACTGAAGGAAGACATGGAGGAGTGGATCACTATGGGTTACCTCTTCAGCTTCCTGAACCTGAACGGCCGTGACCAGGTACCCTGCTGCTGGAGCTCTCCAGAGAACGTGAGGCTCCAGTGTAAGGGCGGGCAGAGGAGATGGCAGCTGTAACTGTAGACCAGGCTGGCCTCGAACTCACAGAGCTGCCTGTCTTTGCCTCCCGCGTGCTGGGGTTAAAGATGTGTGCCATCTTTTCCTTCTCTGTATCCCCAATTGGCCCCAGCCTGTTATATAGCTGAGGACAGCCTTGAGCCCTAAGAGCTTCCCCATCCATTCTCCACCTCCCAAGTGCCGGGATTACAGGCATGCGCTAGATTTAATTATAGCAGTGCTAGGGACCAAGTCCAGGCAGGGCCTCATGCATGCTGGGAAAACACTTTTACCAGTTGAGCTACATCCCCAGCTTCTTTTTTCCTCTGTGTGCAGAGTTACTTCTCTTGGGCTAAGCCAGCAGTCCTAACTTCCCTAGGCTTTCCTAGGACAGGGGTAGGAAAACAGTTTCACCGTCCACCAGAATCTGCTTCCAGAGCGATTCTGTGTATACCAGCTAGCACGTGGGAACACACGCCCCAATGCTCTTGTGTCCCTTCTATCTTAAGTCTGCTCTGTGTGTTGGGTGAGCATTTGGATGCTAGATTTCGTTGGTTTTGAAGCTATAACTTTAATCTTTTGTCACACATCTTTGCTACCTCCAAAAAGAGATTACTATGTTTCCTTATTCCTTCTCTAGTTCACAGTTGGGTTAGGTGTCAACTCAATTTCATGGGCTTTTTTTCCCTTGGTTCCAACCAACTCTTCTAAGCCCTGGGACCCCAGGCTGTTACTGCCAGAGCTGACCAGTTCTTTTCCATAGGTTGTAGGTGTGGTTCCTGAGCTCTTACGCATCTATAGCGTGATTCTGGCAGACGACAGGATTGTGCCAGGTGAGGGGGACAGTCATAGTTAAGGACAAGGGAAAATGGGGCAAGAAGGATGTCAGAACCCAGTCCTTCATTAGGTCCTCTCTCTTCATCCTCCCCAGACACCAAGACAGCACTACTGCATCTCCTGACGTTCCTGGCCAAAGAGCATGCTGACAGCTTCCATGCAGCCCTGGGCTCACTGCCTGCTGATAAGGCTCAGGAACTCCAGGCCATGCTGGGCCTCACTTAGGCTCCAGGCTTCAGCTGGGCCAGAGGGCCTGAAGACCACCAGTCAGCCCAGGCCCAGCTCACCTCACCAAAGACTGTATCATTGGAAGTCCATCCTGCTTGCTGTCTTAACAGGGGTGTCTCTGGGGCTGGGTCTATTACGAGCAGAGTTGTGACATCATACTGTAATAAAGGCAGCTTGTTTTCTGCTTGGACACTAGCTCTGAGAGCGTGAAAACTAGAGATGTGCATTCAGAAACAAGACAGGCACGGGGCTGGGTGTCCCAGCACTGAAGAGGGCGTTCTGTTCCCGCAGAGGATGGAGTTCAGTTCCTAGAACCCACACTAGATGGCTCAAAACTGCCTTGAATTCCCGCTCCGGGGTTTAATGCCCTCTTTAGGCCTTCCCAAACCAACTGCACTCACTTGCACGTTCCAACACACAATTTAAAACTAAAAATAAATCAAGAAAAAAAAAAACCCACGAAGTCCAGTGAGGTAGGATATGGTTTAATGAACTTGCTCAGTGGAATCTGGGACCCCGATGGATCAGGAGGCGCCCATATGGCTTCTCTTGTTCCACAAGAAGGAGCTTCTCTGTGGACAGCACTGGTGGGAAGGAGAAGGCAGGAGTGTGTTAGGCTCCTGGCCTGTCTGCCCCTATCTCTCATGTATCTATACTCACCCAGGAGCAGGTAGAAGACCCGAGAAGCCAACTTCCGGGGGCTGAGAGGAGGTACCAGGCTGCTGAAGTCAAGCTCCCTGTTGGCTTGCAGCTCCAATGCTACCGCTCTGCAGGGATTGAGGGCTATCAGCCAGGGTAACAGCCTAGCGTAGTCTACCCCTTGAAGGACCCCTTCCTGATACCTAAATACAGCCTCTGAAGAGAGTAGCTCAGGTCCTGGGGGCATCTCCATGGGCACTTCCGGGATTTCAGGCAGCATGGGCAGTGCAGGAGGCTCTGGCTGCCCCTCTTCAGTCCAGGCCCTAGCAGACCAAGGGAGTAGCTCAGGGAAGAGGGCCGGTAGTTGTGACAACAGGCAGGACCACTATGGGGTTGAGCTTGGAGCCCCCGGCTGCTTACCACCGTTCCTCTGGGGGGATGAGGCTAGTCCGTGACTTTTCCTCTTCAGCTGCTTCCAGGGAGAGCTCTGTGAGGAAGAGAGCACTGAGGAGTCTGCTCGACTCTAAGGAGCTGGGACCTTGTCATCCTGGGGATGTAGTGCATTCGCCTGACATGCACAAGGCCCAAGACTACGAAGCTTCCCCTCCCCATATCCTGTGGCCTCTTGCAAAGTGGGGACACTAAGCATCAGGCCTGTGTCGAGTTCTGCATGCCCCTCCCTGCTGGCTGGTAAGATAGTGGTCTCCACCTGCCCCTCTCCAGCACCTACCTGAAGAGAGCATGAGGGGACCACTGGGCTCCTGGGCCTCCCTCAGGACCTGCGGGTGAGAGAGCGAGAACTGAGACCTGAGCCCGGGGGTCAGGTCTAGGTCTGGTAAGCAGGCTGGTGTGCTGCCCAGAGCTGGCCAGAGCTGAGGCTTACAGGGCAAGGTGGAGGCGGTTACCTCAATCTCGCTCAGAGCTTCAGTCAGTCTTCCCTCCTTGCCTGCCACTTCCCTCTCCTCAGCTGCCTCTTCCGGCTCCCGTCGTGGTCTTTGTCTCAGCATTCTTGAGGGTGTCTGGGCACAGTGGGTCCATAAATCTAGTAGTTCTGGCGCCAGCCAGCCCGCTGACGACAAAGGGGAAGGTTGAAATCATGGGACAGAGGATTCCAGGTTCTGAAGATCCCACCTGCCCAACCGTCATCCTTACAGAGAGTCGGGGTTCTGAAGAGCTCCACCGGGCTTGTAATCATCCTTTGGGGAGGCTGGATCACGGGCTACAAGAGGGTGCAAGGCCAGTGGCCTGTTTATGAGAGCACCGTCACTACCCCTCCTTTGTACATTGTTCCCAGAGCCTGTGCCTGCTTTCAGGCTCATGACCTGGCCTGTAGTGGCTAAATGGGTAGATGGTGACCTGATGATGTCGGTGGATATGTGGTGTAGACACAGTCCCCCCCACACGTACTTTCTAGGAAATAGGGTCTTTTGATATATTCTTAGGTATCCTTGGGAGGTCAGAAGTCCAGCATGCCTCTACTCTCTGGGGAGAACCGGAGCTGCACTCACATAATCCCAGCAGTGAGCCCTGGTCTGTAGCTGTTCCTCAAATTTCTTCCGGGAGATCTGAGTTTCCTTGTCCCAGAAGAGTAACTGGCGGCGTTGGCGGCCAGGTGGGCTCGGAGGAGGCAGGGGCCTCTTCTGGAGTAGAAGGGGAAGCAAGGGTCAGGCTGCCCACCTCCCCTTTCCAGTAGACTACTGATGGCCCCACACTCTGCCGGAAGAAGCTTGGGTAAAGTCCTTATTCAATTCATAGCTTACTCAAAGGTACCTGTTGGGAAGAGGCCACACCACAAGGAAGGTATGGGAAGGGACATTGTTTGTTGATAGAAGTAAAATCCTCACTGTAAGCTAACACAATGGCCCTGGGCTTAAGGACAAAGATGTAGGAGGGGGAAGGTAAAGAGGATGAGCTTGGGGGAGAACCTACTCACCTCTGCACTCGGTGGGGTGGGTAGGCGCAGCTCCTGAGGAGGGGTCACCTCTGCAACAACACCCATAAGCCCCCTCGCTGTTTTTGCCCTTTTTAAAGACAAGGTCTGGCATTCAAGTTCATGCTGGTTTACAGTGATCCTGCCCCAGCCTTCTGGAGTGATTGGACTACAGGTGTTATCACCACAATCTTGTTTGTATTTTGATTTTGGAGAGAGGGTTTCTTTGTGTAGCCCTGGATGTCCTGGAACTCACTATGTAGACCAGGCTGGCCTAGAACTCAGATCCTCCTGCTTCTGCTCCCCAAGTGCTGGGATTAAAAGTGTGTGCCACGGCCAACTGGCTAGCCCCTTCATTCTTGAAGCTACTAGGGTCTCCCTCAGATGACAGGGGTAAGGACTTTTGTCTCCACAAGTGTGCAAATGTTCCCAAGGAAGCACCCAGTGAAGGACACTTACCAGTGAGTATGGCCTCAGGCTCCCAGCCTGTCAATTTCTGTACCTCAGGAGGGAAGAGCTGGCCCGGAAGTGGTTCTCTTATGCCTTCAACCCTGAGGGGAAATAGGCAGATAAGGAAATCCTTCCCTGCAATGACCCCTTACCTGGTACAAGGATTCCTGTCCTTACTGTGCCAGAGCTGGAGGTGAGATCGAGGGGACCACACCATCACCCTCCATGGCCCGGGGTTCTTCCTTGGATTCTGCAGAAAAAAAAGGATCAGAACACTTAGGAGACAGAAGAGGGCGCTGTCCATCCCCAGGTTAGCTGTGCGGGGACCTCACCATCCAGTGCTGGGGAAACCCTCCGCTGCCGGAGAAGCCTGCGTTGCCGACGTTCCTCTAGCAATATGGCATCATCTTCCTCTGCAATCAGCAGGTCCAAATCTCCTCGACTGACCTCTGGGAGATCCTGCTCCCCCTTTGGAGAGAGCAAAGCAGTGGCTTTTTGGGGGTTGAGCCCAAGGAGGCCCAGTGGGTACTAAGGGGACAGAGTGTAGGGAAATGGAAAAGAGAAGGCAGAACTACAGGGGTGCGATGGGGCTGGACTGGATTTAAAGAAAAACTCACCTCAATCTGCAACATGCGTATGGGCTCTGCCTCCTGTAGGGTGATGGTCTCAGGAGACTTTGCAGTGGCTAAGGTCCTGTCTGGAGGGGTAGGAAAGTCAAAACAGCCCTATTCTTTTTTTTTTTTTTTTTTTTTTTTTTTCGAGACAGGGTTTCTCTGTAGCTTTGGAGCCTGTCCTGGAACTAGCTCTTGTAGACCAGGCTGGCCTCCAGAGGTCCGCCTGTCTCTGCCTCCCAAGTTCTGGGATTAAAGGCGTGCGCCAACCCGGCAGCCCTATTACTTCTTTCCAAGTTGTTGGGGGCAGGAACACTTTGGGGACCAAGAGCCAGGCTAGTCCCCAGCAAATACTCCCAAGCGCATCTTTTTTTCTCACTATGTAGATTAGGTTGGCTTCAAACTAAGAGATCCTGCCTGCCTCTGCCACTGCTCAGATTGAAGGTGTGCAGTCACTACACCCAGCCTGGGTCAGTTCGCAGCCCCTAGCTTTGAACTCTTGGTCTTCCTGCCTCTACTTTCTGTTTGCTGGGATTACAGGTGTCCACCCATTTTGTTTTTGTTTTCCTTAACCAGTCTAGGCTGGCCTTGAACTCAGTATCTGACGTGGGCAGGTGTTAACTTTCAGTGGGATTACAGACTTGTCACCAGGCCTTACTGGGTCGGACTCGTCAAGAGTTATTTATTCAGCTCTTGGGTCCCTGAGTCTTTCATCAGAACAGCCCTCCCTGCTGACTTGGCTCCCTGGGCTTAGCAGTGACTTCAGGAGGGGGGTCTTCTTACCAATTTTCTCTGGGGTCACAGCCTCTAAAAGATGTCGAATCTTTGGGAAGAAATTGGGAATGAAAGACAAATATCAGCTTCAGTCCTCTCTGGCCTCACTCACAGAACATTCAGGGATGCTGGACACCAATCCGGCAGTCTCTCTTTGTATTTGTATCTTAAGATTTTTTTTGCTTTATTATTTATTTTAGAGACAGATTTTATTTGTCTACGTGGGCACGCATGGGCCCTTGGAGGCCAGAAGATAGAACTGGATGTTGGATCCCTGGAGCTGGAGTTATAGGTGGTTGAAAGCTGGCAGTGAAGTCCTGTCCCAAACACGCCCGTGCCCCCTAGGCATGGTTCCAGCCCCATCTGCCCCATGCCCTCTTAAACTTTCGACAGCCCTCCTCCTTGAAACCTGAGAGTTCTTAAATTAGTTACATCACCACATGCAGACACGCACACATTTCCAGAACTGGGAATCAAAGCTAAGGCCTTGTGCATGTTAAACAAATGCTCTATCACGGGGCTACACCTCCAGCCCTAAACCAAATCTTTGCGCCATTTGACAGCGATATGTTATAAAGTCACCAACTAAGTTTTCACAACTTAGTCCCTGTCCTAACCTTACCCCCAAAGTAGCCTTATCCATTTGTGCAATAAGCCCCACAACATCCATATAGCAACCGTTGTTGTGGACAGAGATGAATAGAAAGATGCTTGGGTAGATGGTAATGGGGACTCGTTTGTGTATAGGGTCAACAAAAAGAAGACAGCAGGCTTGGTAAAGTGCTCAGATCCCAAAATAATTGCTTTTGGCTTCAAGTGGAGTAATTTCATGGCAAGGGTGTCATCAGACTAAGTTTGTAAGAATAAGGGACCCCCTAACGAGCAGAGAATGAAGAGCAATAAATGTATTTCGCAAGCAAAGAAGTAAATGTGGCATTTTGGGACATGGAAAATTATTGGTGTTTGGTAGCTAAGGTTACCCAGAAAAGAGAAAAAAAATGGGATGGGTACCACTCAATTCAGGCACCAAGATCCCTAGATGCTGGTACTATATGCGTTCAGGACCAACTGCTTCAATGAGAAAATGGGGAATGGAGTGATGTCTAAGCTGTGGGGATGATGGAAGAAGATGGGGGAAGAACAACCAACATCTAGTCTCAGTGTTGGGAACAGTGGGGATAGGGGAAGAATCAGGTCAGCCCTAAGTAAGCAAGATCTGGGGCTTTGCTTGCTTGTTTGCATCCACCAGTCCCCTTGCTCCATGGCCTCTCATGGGTTCCATGCCCAGACCTCAGTGTCAGATTGGCACAAGGACACCAGCTAACTCTTCATTCTATACTATCATTTCATGATTTCTGAGGGGGTCTAGTGAAAGGAGCCTTACCTGAGGAATATCATAAGGGCTGGGAAGCCTGGGATCCACAGACATCGTCCCAAAAAAAGGTTCTGGAGCATCTTCCAGCATCTCCATCATGGCCAGGCAGTTAGGAAGGAGCAAGTTGGGTCTGGGAGAGAATGAAGGATGTCAAAGGACAAAGCTGAGAGCGGGTGAGACGGCTCAACAGGTAAAGTCCCTCTGACCTCCGCATGCATAGAATGGTCTCTCTCTCTCATACAAGCATGCACGCACGCACACATTATTAAAAAAAAAAAAGCTGGCGCACACCTTTAATTCCAGCACTCAGGAGGCAGAGGCAGGTAGATCTCTTTGAGTTTGAGGCCAGCCTGGGCTACAGAGCGAGTTCCAGGGTAGGCTCCAAAGTTATACAGAGAAACCCTGTCTTGAAAAAACAAACAAAACGAGGCTGAGGCCAAGCAGGTCTGGATGGCCGCAGCTCTAGGACTCACAGGTCAGCATCCTCCATGTCGATGCGAATCCGCAGCTGGGCCCGGTGCAGATGCTCAAGGATATGCTGGATGTCTTCTGTGGTCAAGGAGGATGAAACAACCAGGTTAGCCATGGACCATCCAGCTCTAGCCCTCCTCGGGTGTCCCCAGCCTTACCCACAAGGTACTGGCACTGTTGGGAGTAGACCCGTATAACACCAATCTGAAGCTGGGCGGAGAGATAGAGAGAGAAGCGGGGCCGGGGCAGCCCAGGCATCGGAGGTTGCACTCGTACCAGCACATAATTGAGTATTTCCTCGCTGCAAGAACAACGGACCCTGGTCAACGCTGCACTCGCTGTAGCTCCCAAACCAGAGACTCCTCCCTCTTTTCCTGGCCTTACCAGGTCTTTACTACGTTCACTTTCAGATATTCCCGCTTCACCAACCGGCTGCCTCGGGTTGCCGCTAGCCTGGAAGGGTGGGACGGGTATGGCCTGTCAAATTGAAATTCCCACTACTTGGCTCCTCGCATAGCGGTCAGCCCTGCACTCACCAGATAGTGGCGAAGCAGCCTGTATGGCGCTGAAGCACGTTGGGATAGTAGAACATCTCCGCAGTTCACGCTCCGCACCAATCCCGTCTGGATCTCAATCTGAATTCTTTAGGACGCGAGATTCCCAGCACCATTGAAGAGGAGTAGGAATTTGGACGGGGGCATGGTGCATGTGGATGCAAAAAGCCCAATTAATAAGACGACCAACGCTGGGCGTGGTGTCGCATGCTTTTAATCCCAGTTCTCAGGAGGCAGAGACAGGCGAATGAACCTTTGTGTGTTCGAGGCCAGCCTGGTTTACAAAGTGAGTGCCAGGACAACCAAAGATACACAGAAATCCCGTCTTGAAAACCAAAACAAAAGAAAAAAAAAAGACGACCAACTTCTGGTAATTGAATTTGGGAGATAACCAAACGGAGACGCTGGTGCTGGGTACCCTTATTCTGCCATCCCTGAGGAGGTCTGCACATCACTCGAAGACATGGCACTTACCTTCAGGATTGACGTCTCGGCCAGAGATGCGGAGCTCCAAAGGGGAAGCCTGAACAGAGCCAGAAAACGAACGAACGAACTAACGAACGAACGAACGAACAAAAAACCAGGTCTTCAGGGACGACTGAGTGTTCGTCAGCCGTCGTCGAGCTTCTGGAACTTGCTCTAGGTTCAGTCGCCCTCCAGCGGGACCAGAAGCATGCTCTCCAAAGCTTTGCGCCAGGACAGCCAATAGGGAGCAGCGGAGGGGGAGCTCTGACTCCCGGTGCCAGGCAGCAAAACACGGCGGTTCCCGGCCATAGGCTCTTGGAGACGGGTCGCGAGCCAATCACGAGAATCCTGAGGACCACTGTAGCATTGTGAGGTGTCCTGGCCAATGGGCTCTCGTTCTCTCAGGTAGTAACAAGGACTTCTCCCAGGGGTTCATCTGACCAATAAACGGGGAGAAACCCAGTTTCTCCCTGGAGACAGCTGGCCAGCAGGACACCTACTAGAGTGGAAGATGGGGTCACGTCAAGGGCAAACGCCCCGGCGCTGCTTATAATACAGAGATGCAAGGGCCTGTGCACGAGCCCAGTTCTTCTAAATTCCACCAACCTGATTTTGTGTCCTGGAAGGGTCTGTGCTGAACTAAGTGCGAGAAACTGAGCTGGCCTTGCAATCACTACTTGTCAACAAGAAAGAAGGCGGCCACCAGAGCTGTAACTACAAACTTCTGAAATCTTACCTGGCACTTGGAATTTAGACACTATCTCTAAAAAAGCAAAAGCAGAGGCCAGGAGTGGTGGTGCACACTTTTATCTCAGTAGCAGGAGGATCTTTACAAGTTTGAGAATAGCACACCCCCTCCCCCCTTACAGGCGCCAGTTACAGCACCATAGTGAGACTCTCTGTCAAAAAAAGGCAAAAGAGGGCTGGAGATGTAGCTCAGTAGTACAGAGCTTGCTTGCATCCACAAGGCCTGGGCTCAAGTCTCAGAACTGCAGAAAAGGAAGGAAAACAGCCGTTGATCCAGGACGCGGAGTCAGGCAAACCCTGTGAGTCTGAGGCCATGATGCTCTACACAGTGACTTCCAGGCTAGCCAGTGAGATTCAGTCTCAAAACCAAGCAAATAAAAACAACAGCAAAACTAAAAATGAAGGTGTGTGCACATCTGTATCCAGTTCTTGGGAGGGACGGCTAGAGTTGAAGGACAGTTTCCACTTCACAGCCTGGGTCATTTTGAGACCTAGCTCAAAAACCATACATGTCTTCTTTCTTTCTTTCTTTCTTTCTTTCTTTCTTTCTTTCTTTCTTTCTTTCTTTCTTTCTTTCTTTCTTTCTTTCTCTCTCTCTCTCTCTCTCTCTCTCTCTCTCTCTCTCCTTTCTTTCTTTCTTTTCTTTTCTTTTTTTTTTGTTTTTTCGAGACAGGGTTTCTCTGTAGNAGTTTCAGCTGGGATTCCCCAGCCCTTTCTGCTGGGTGTTGTAAGCCAGGTTCAAGGGTATTACTTTGGCTTGCTTCCTCAGTTGGGATACTACAGTCCAGAAGTGGGAGTAGGAGCCTTTGAAGCCAAAGATACGGGCGTTTGGGAGTCACCTGATGTTGTGTGAGGATGGAAACCTCATCCTCCGGTGGAACAATAAGTGCTCTGAACTGCTGAGCTGTCTGTCTTTCCAGTTCCTTTACCATCTTCTCAGTGGCTACTACCTGATGCCTATGGCTCTGGCTGCTGGGGTAAAGGACTGAGTGGATAAAGTTCCCACCTTCTTGGAGGCTGTTTCCGGGGTCATATTTTCTGATCTTCGACTACTATATGCAAAGCATTCTTTTTATGCAGTGTGGGAGGTAAAAAGATGAAGGCGATCTGACTTTCTTTACATTTTTCTTTTATTATTAAATTGTGTGTGCATATGATCTATGTGTAGGGGCCAAGGGAAACAATCTACTGTGTGACTAAGCTGGGATTTTCAATTGCTTCTAGCATATTAAGGCATTTTCAACATAAGATATTTCATGTTTACAACAGATTTATCTATCCTTACATGCTGCGTTATAAACTCAGAAGCACCCGCACTTAAAAACAAGCCAAAAGGACTAGAAAGATGGCTTGGAGGCTGAGAGCGCTTGCTGTTCTTGCACAGGACCTGGGTTCAGCTCCACGTGACAACTCACAACCATCTGGAACTCCAGTTCTGTCTGTAATTTCAGTTCCAGAAGATATGACACCTTCTCCTGGTCTCTATGGACGCCTGCGTGCATGCACTCAGGCCCACACACTTACACATAAAGCAAAAATCTTAAAAATATAACAACAAACTAAGGTTATTACTGTATTTAAATTTAAAGGTAAATTTAGGACTAAGGCTTTAGCTCAGTGGGCTGAGCACTGGTCTGGTATATACTAGGTTTAACCCATAGTGCTGGGAAATAAAACTGCCCATACATTTCCTGAGCAGGAAGGGCACACACAACCCTAGCACTCAGGAGGCTAAGGCAGAAGGCCATCTTGAATTCAAGGCTAGCCTGAGATAAAAAAGCTTGGTCATTCTTGACTGCCAGCTCAGAACCTGGAATGCAGAGATAGGAGGATTAGGAATTCACTGGTTGGAACAACCTCAGCCACATCTCATGTTCAAGGCCAGCCTCAGCTATCTCGTGAGTTTGAGGCCAAACTGAGCTAAGGGAGACCCTGCCTCTAAATAAATGAATCGATAGATAAATGGAACTTTAAAAGTGTGGTATCACATGTGTGTAATCTCATCACTGGGGACGCTAAGACAGGAAAGTCCCAAGTTGCTGTCTTACCTGGTTTATACAGTGTGACCTTGTTCCTTCCTTCCTTTCTTTTTTTTTTTTTTTTTTTAAGGCACTGTCTGTTGGCCTTTTGACCAAGATCAAATGCGAATAACAAACTTGTTCAGTTCCAAGAGGTTTCAGCTCAGTTTTCTTAGCTGTTCACATGAACTCTTTTAAGTCTATCTAAGGACTACGGTGGCAAAGTCACGTGGCATGGAGTTCTCCACATTAGAGCCCTCCTGGCTTGTTTTCCTTTGGTGGCAGCTGTCGCAGAGTTTGCAGAACCTTGAGCTCTTTGGATTCTGCTTCCTCCCTCCGCTGGATTAGATGACAGGTAAAGCCAAGCTGGAGGCGTGTTTTGGACAGGCTCACTTTTGAAATGTGTACCAAAGAAATTCTCTGGCAGTGGAACTCCCACACTGCAGCTGGGGCCGTCAGCATTGCCTAACTTACTAAACTCTGTGGAGTTATCAATGCCTTGAGGGGAAAAAAGTAAATAAGACCAAATGCCCCCCCCCCCCCCCCTCCACCAACCTACAAGGAAGCAACTGCCTTAAGCAAACAGAAGCTAACAGCCTTCTGGCTATTCAGATCTTGAGATAGTGACTCCTGGGTTACTGCACTGAGACACTACCTGAAAGTGGTATTTTGGCTCCCATCCACCCTACCTGCTATCCTTTTAGTGAACAATCTTTTGGAACTAGGAACCCTAAAGGAAGCTCAGGAGACCACCCCGGAGGCTGCGCTTGTCCTGGGTTTGCTCTAGCTGCCAACTCTGAAACTAGGCCATGGGTGACTGGCAGTCCCTCAGGCTCATAAGAAATAGCTGCAAAGGTCAGGGGAAGTTTTTAACGGTTGAGTATCCAGGAGGCCAGCGAATGACAGGCTTCGAGGAGCTTCTTTGGAATGTGAAACAGGCGCTTGGAGCAGCAGCCCTGGGCACAGGATGACAGGTGTCAGGATGTCAGCCTAGTGCTATGGCCCTGTGGAAGCGCTGGCTTTGCCCTTCTGTGTAGAAAGCCCCTCTTTAGGCAGGGGACTCATCCAGCAGGACCGCAGAGATGTCTTGTGCTAGCTTTAGAGAACCACTATAGTATTCCCAATAGGAGAGCCTGGATGAATTTCTCCTTCCCTTCCCCCACTCCACGACTGAACCTAGATCCTCAGGCAAGATGAGCAGGGTAACTACCACTGAGCTACACCCACCTCCCCCACCTCCCGAAAGGCTCCTGAACTCCAACCCCCGGTCCTCCTACCTCTACCTAATTGTGGTATTACAGATGTGTTTGGCACACAGGGTCTTGCTAAATTGTCCAGTTGACTTTGTGTGCTTCCTTTGTGGCCCAGGTATGTCCTGCATTTATACCCCCCTGCTTCAGCCTCTCACGTGAGTGGAATTACAGGTGTGTGTTAGCAGGCTTGGCTGTGTCATTTTAACCGGAAGATGTTGGGATTCCAAGTGGGAAACACAAGTGTGCTCTTTCTCTCTCTCTCTCTCTCTCTCTCTCTCTCTCTCTCTCTCTCTCTCTGGATAGAGACAGTTTATTAAGAATGGGACACTCCTGAGAATGGGAGTGGCTAGGCAGCTGGGGAAAGATATCGGTTCAATGCCTCAAAACAGATTTTTATGAGATGTTTGTCAGCAAAGGTCATACCTTGCGCTCTTAAGAATGCCACTTCACTGACCAGTCACTGTACTGGCGTTACTCTCGCTCGTCTCATTGGTCAGCAAAGGTCATTTCCAATCCAGTTTCACCCACGGCTAACAGCTAATGCGTCACCCCACACGTGGCAGGATGCCACGAACAGATGCAGCGAGCTTTCTCTGTAAAGAGCCAGAAAGTAAGTGTTTTGGCCGTGTGGTCCATGTGTCCCTTATCACAACCCCTCACCTCTCTCGCTATAGAACAAACACTGCTACAGACAGTGGAGAAGCGAGGGAGTGTGGCTGTGTTCCAGTAAACTCTAGAAAACCAGTACACTGGGTGGGACGTCGCTCAGTGGAAGAGTGGGTGTAGGCATAGAGCCCAGGGCTGGCTACTAGCAGTAGCTAAACATGAAAAAAGCAAAGGAGAAAGGAAGGCAGGAATGAAGGAAGAGAAAACACAGGATGGGAACTAGGTAGCTAACTGATTTGGGAGCTCTAAACTTCAGATCAGCGGTTCTCAACCTTCCTAATGCTGTGCCCCTTTAATACAGCTCCTCATGTTATGGTGACTGTCCCCCAACCGTAAAACTATCTTCATTGCTGCTTCACAACTGTCATTTTGCTCCTGTTAGGAATCATAACGTAAATACCTGTGTCTTTCAATGGGCTTAGATCACCCCTGAGAAAGGGTCGTTTGACCACCAGAGGGTTCACGACCCATAGGTGGAGAACGACTGCTCTAGAGTTTAGGATAAAGACATGGGATCTGGAGCTCTGAGCTCGAGTCTTGAGTCTTACTCGCTAGCTATGTGACCTTAGAATTACGTACGGTCTGAGGACTTGTTCCTTCACCTCTGTGCTGAGTATAGGACTTGGGGAGTACTTGATGCCTAGCAGATAGTAAGTGCTAAGCATGGTTGTTAGATGATCCTGTGAAGGGGATGAGGGGGATAACACTGCTGAGGCTGGGGTGCTCTGCTGACACAGA